TCAATTTGGTGTGGCACTACGATATCTAAATGGTCAGGCAGGGTGGCCAGGATGTTTTGCTCCCCCGGAAGCAGAGAGATATGAAGTCTCTGATCTGTCTATGCTGATGGTCGGAAACGACAAGTCACAAATATGAATTACAAATATGCAGCGAGCTGTTTGCTCTGAGTTTCAGCTTTCATTATTCTCTTTCAATCCCCATCATATCATTGTTTTTTTTTTTCTGCTTTTCCCTGGAAACCCTCCGATTCTAATTAATGAATATCAGTTGGGAAAAGTAGCGATTTATGTGAGAATCATTTATAAGCCGGCTTTGGTCGAGTCATACTTCTGAGATCCATCTGCACTTAGCGAGCCTTGAGAACGCATCAAGCAGTCTGCAGTGATAAAGCAAGCTGCTTACAGATCCAGTAATGGTTCCCAGGCAGTTTCATTACCCCTGTGGATTTATTGGAATGCCGGCACTGTGAAACCAGCCATAAGAAAGGCGCTTTTACCACTGGACTTCAGTCTAATGGGTTTAATATGGAATGTGAGCTATTAGCTGGCAGCTCCGGATCTCTTGTGTATCTTCTCTCCATTGTAAGTTATGGAATGCTATATAAATAAGATACTTTTTCCATTATTAGATCATGTAAATGGAATTTCTATTAACAAACTGATAGCATAATGCCAGTGTGTATTACAAACCAGTAGATAGTAAATAATATAAATAATAACAACAATAATATTATATTATTAGCATTATTATTATTATTATTGTTATTATTATTATTAATACTAATAATCTCCCTCTTCCCATCTCTCCTTATATTTATGTGTACATATATATGTATTTTTTTTTCTTTTTTTTGTCTTCTTCTTTCTTCATATTTCTTCTTCTCCTACTTTATTCATCTTCTCTTTTGTCTTCCTCTTTCTCTTCTTCTTTTTTCTCTTTCTTCTCCCTTTCTTTCGTTCTTTCTTTCTTCTTCTACTTTTCTTCATCTTTTTCTCTTTTGTCTTCTTTTTCTTTCTTTCTTTCTTTCTTTCTTTCTTTCTTTCTTTCTTTCTTTCTTTCTTTCTTTCTTTCTTTCTTTCTTTTCTTTCTTTTCTTTCTTTCTTTCTTTTTCTTTTTCTTTCTTTCTTTCTTTCTTTCTTTCTTCTTCTCCTACTTTATTCATCTTCTCTTTTTCTTCTTTTCTTTCTTTCTTCTTTCTTTCTTTTTTTTCTTTCTTTCTTTCTTTTTCTTTCTTTCTTTCTTTCTTTCTTTCTTTCTTTCTATCTTTCTTTCTTTCTTCTTCCCCTATTTTTATTCATCTTCTTTCTTTCTTTTTCTTTCTTTCTTTCTTTCTTTCTTTCTTTTTTTCTTCTTCTTTCTTTCTTTCTTTTTTTTTCTTCTTCTTTTTTCATATTTCTTCTTCTCCTACTTTATTCATCTTCTCTTTTGTCTTCCTCTTTCTCTTCTTCTTTTTTCTCTTTTTTCTTTCTTCTCCCTTTCTTTCTTTCTTTTCTTTTCTTTCTTTCTTTTTTCTTTTCTTTCTTTCTTTTTCTTTCTTTCTTTCTTTCTTTCTTTCTTTCTTCTTCTTCTCCTACTTTATTCATCTTCTCTTTTGTCTTCTTTCTTTCTTTCTTTCTTTCTTTCTTTCTTTCTTCTTCCCCTATTTTATTCATCTTTTCTTTCTTTCTTCTTTCTTTCTTTCTTTCTTTCTTTTCTTTCTTTCTTTCTTTCTTTCTTTCTTTCTTTCTTTCTTTCTTTCTTTCTTTCTTTCTTTTTTCTTTCTTTCCTTCCTTCCTTTCCTTCCTTCCTTCCTTCCTTCCTTCCTTCCTTCCTTCCTTCCTTTCCGTCCTTCCTTCCTTCTTCATCTTACTTCTTCTTCTTCCTTTTTCATCTTACTTCTTCTTCTTCCTTTTTCATCTTACTTCTTCTTCTTCCTTTTTCTTGTTTTTTTCTCTTTCTGCTCCTGTTTTTCTTCTTCTTTCTTAACCACTTGCCGACCAGCCACTGTAGAAATACGGCGGCAGGGTGGCACGGCTGGGCAAAAGCATGTTTTAAAACGCGCTTTTGCAAAACAGGTAGGGGGCACGCACAAGTCGCGCCTCCGCCCTACCTGCACCGCCGATCACGGCCGCGGGTGTTTAGTCGCCGGGTCACGGCCAGTCATTACCGGCTGTGTCCTGCTGATTAGCGGCAATCACTGACAGAGAGCAGGGCTGCAGTAGCTCTGCTTTCTGTCAGTTCCCCGACAGCTCCTGACACGCTGATTGGGAGAGAAGAGTTTATCTCTCCCGATCAGCATGTCCCTGTGCAGTGCACACCCCCCGCCCCCTAGTAAAACAGTCCCCTCACACAGTTAACCCTTTCAGTGAATAAAAAAAGTTAACCCCTTCCTCCCCAGTGCCATTAGTACAGTGTCAGTGTTTTTTTTTTTTGCACTGATCACTGTATTGGTGTCACTGGGGATGTCAGTGACCCCAAGTCAGTCCCCCCCAGTGTCAGAATGTCCGCCGCTGTCCCGCAGTCGCGCCATAAGTCGCTGATTGCCGCCATTATTAGTATAAAAAAAAATTAACAATCCGAGTATCTTTCCCGCCATTTGTAAATGCTATAACTTTCACGTAAACCAATTAATTTACACGTATTGGGGTTTTTTTAAGCAGAGACATGTCGCAGAATACATTTTGGCTAAAATTTATGACGAAATTTGATTGTGAAATTTTTTTTTTACTGGACATGTTTTATAGCAAAAAGTCCAAAATATTGTTTTTTTTTTTCTCAAAATTGTCAGACTTTTTTTTTAGAGCGCAAAAAAAAAAAAAAAACGCACAGGTGATCAAATACCACCAAAAGAAAGCTCAATTTGTGAGAAAAAAAGGACATAAATTTAATTTATGTACCGTATTGCATGACCGCGCAATTGTCTGTTAAACTAGCGCAGCGCTGTATAGCAGAAAAATGGCGTAAATTGCAGTATCTATACCATAGTTTGTAGACGCTACAACTTCCACACAAAGCAATCAATATACACTTACTGGGATTTTTTTACCAAAAACATGGAGCAGAATACATTTTGGCCTAAATTTATAACCAACTTTGAGTTTACTATATATTTTTTTATAGTTGAAAGTAAAAAAAATATTGTTTTTCTTCAAAATTTTTGGTCTTTTTTTTTTGTTTATAGCGTGAAAAATAAAAAGCGCACAGGAATTTCGTTTGGGTGCAGCATTGCATGACCGCGCAATTATCAGTTGAATTAGCGCAGCGCCGAGTAGCAAAAAGAGGCGTGGTCATTAAGGGGGGTAAATCCTCAGGAGGGCAAGTGGTTAGCCTCCATAGCGGTCTGATTATGTCAGTATTTCTGTGCTCAAAGCGGTACATTGTTTTCAATGGAAATATGTTGTTTTTTTTTTTGTAGGCCTGTAATTCTTAGGAATAACTCACTGAAATCTGTCCGAACAAGAGTCTAGTAAACATCCCGGGTAGGATCAAATTTTAAACATGAAATCATAAATGATAATATAATAAATAAATAAAATAATAATAATAAATGTAATTCAATAATATAATCAAACCAAAAACACTGAAATGTGAAATATAGCGCCAAGTTCGCACATCGCTGAGCTCAGTCGCAGAATCGCTTTCAGTGTCTGATGATGAATTTCCCCCACGAATCATTATCACTCAATTCTGCAAGTGGTTCTGATTTACTATCGCTGTTCTCTAGCCGGTCTAAAACCGCGTCTGACCTAAAGGGACGCTTTTTGGACGCCATGGACGTTTCTCAGTTTCCAGGCAGAAAGGACAGTAAAAATCAAGGCAGGGCGCCGGACAAAGCACTCGAGAATACCGCCAGGGAGGTTAATCTTTCTTCTTTTGTCTTCTTCTTTCTTATTTCTTCTTGTTTTCTTCATCTTCTTCCTCCTATACTTTTTTCATACTTATTTTTCTTTCTTCTTCTTCTATCTTCATCTTTCTTTGTCTTTTTTCTTTCTTCTGCTTCTACTACTTTATTCATCTTTCTCTTCTTCATTTCTTTTTTTCTTTCTTCACCCTTTCTTCTTCTTTTTTCTTCTTGTGTCTTCTTCTTTCTTCTCCTTTTACTTTTTGCTTCTTTCTTAGTCTTTTTTCTTTCTTCTTTTTTTATTTTTCTTCTTCTTTTATTTTTCAGAGTTAGTGTGTTTTTACAGCTAAAACACTCCTCTAGAAACCCACTTGTCCTGGTTTTTGTTTCCAGCCAAAAAACACCCCTGACGAAAAACATTGATTCCAGTCTGTGTGTGCATGGACACATAGGATAACACGCTGGGGATGGACACATAGGATAACACGCTGGGGATGGACACATAGGATAACATGCCGGGGATGGACACATAGGATAACACGCTGGGGATGGACACATAGGATAACATGCCGGGGATGGACACATAGGATAACACGCTGGGGATGAACACATAGGAGAACATGCCGGGGATGGACACATAGGATAACACGCCGGGGATGGACACATAGGATGACATGCCGGGGATGGACACATAGGATAACACGCCGGGGATGGACACATAGGATAACATGCCGGGGATGGACACATAGGATAACACGCCGGGGATGGACACATAGGATAACATGCCGGGGATGGACACATAGGATAACACGCCGGGGATGGACACATAGGAGAACATGCCGGGGATGGACACATAGGAGAACACGCCGGGGATGGACACATAGGATAACACGCCGGGGATGGACACATAGGATAACACGCCGGGGATGGACACATAGGATAACATGCCGGGGATGGACACATAGGAGAACATGCCGGGGATGGACACATAGGATAACACGCTGGGGATGGACACATAGGATAACACGCCGGGGATGGACACATAGGAGAACATGCCGGGGATGGACACATAGGATAACATGCCGGGGATGGACACATAGGACAACACGCCGGGGATGGACACATAGGATAACACGCCGGGGATGGACACATAGGATAACACGCCGGGGATGGACACATAGGACAACACGCCGGGGATGGACACATAGGATAACATGCTGGGGATGGACACACAGGATAACATGCCGGGGATGGACACATAGGATAACATGCCGGGGATGGACACATAGGATAACATGCTGGGGATGGACACATAGGATAACATGCCGGGGATGGACACATAGGATAACACGCCGGGGATGGACACATAGGAGAACATGCCGGGGATGGACACATAGGATGACACGCCGGGGATGGACACATAGGATGACATGCCGGGGATGGACACATAGGATAACACGCCGGGGATGGACACATAGGATGACATGCCGGGGATGGACACATAGGATAACACGCCGGGGATGGACACATAGGATAACACGCCGGGGATGGACACATAGGATAACACGCCGGGGATGGACACATAGGATAACATGCCGGGGATGGACACATAGGATAACACTCCGGGGATGGACACATAGGAGAACATGCCGGGGATGGACACATAGGAGAACACGCCGGGGATGGACACATAGGATAACATGCCGGGGATGGACACATAGGAGAACACGCCGGGGATGGACACATAGGATAACATGCCGGGGATAGACACATAGGATAACATGCCGGGGATGGACACATAGGAGAACACGCTGGGGATGGACACATAGGATAACATGCCGGGGATGGACACATAGGATAACATGCCGGGGATGGACACATAGGAGAACATGCCGGGGATGGACACATAGGAGAACACGCTGGGGATGGACACATAGGATAACATGCCGGGGATGGACACATAGGAGAACATGCCGGGGATGGACACATAGGAGAACATGCTGGGGGGGATTATTGGCTGTAGAAAAAAAACGTCAAAAGCCGAAAACAGCCGCTGTAAATACATCCCGTGTGCGTGAGAACTAAATGTAGTAGATGAGTACTTTTTACTTAAAAAAAAACCGCTTATCACTCTTATCTTCAGTATTATGATGATGAAGATAATGAAAATTAATAGAAGCAATAGTGATAGGCTGTGGGAAAGAAGTCCTCTTTTTTTTTTGTTTATCGGGGGAAGTGTATTTGTAGAGAATTTGAGAAAATCAACAAACTGAAACCTTATAAGATCTCTTACAGTAAAAATTAGACATGGTTGTCTGGTAGTCAAAGGATTAAAGGATTTTAAGGCTTAGTCATTCATCTTAAACCTAACCAAAAATTGTTCCAGGATGCCGTCTCATTGTGCTCCCTCAACACTGCGCAATTCCACGGAAGTACAGATTTGTGAATGCATTGAAAGTAAAATGTTGAGTCTCTAATCACCACAGGGATTTATTGAATTCTTATAGGTTAGACCAGTGTTTCTCAAACTTTTCTCAGTCAAGGCACCCTTTCAAATTATGGACAGTCCCGAGGCACCCTTTCAAATTATGGACAGTCCCGAGGCACCCTTTCAAATTATGGACAGTCCCGAGGCACCCTTTCAAATTATGGACAGTCCCGAGGCACCCTTTCAAATTATTATTATTATTATTATTATACAGTATTTATAAAGCGCCAATAGTTTGCTCAGCGCTGTACATTACAAAGGGAGACAGAACATGTGACAGAACAATACCAATACAATGCAAAACATGAGGGGATTGAGGGCCCTGCTCTTTCGAGCTTACAATCTAGGAGGGGAGGGGGGTGGTGGCACAGGAGGAGATAGCTGTGGGGGATGGAGTGGTAGGAAGAGTGGAGGAGGTCGGCAAGTTAGCAGGGGGTGGGGTAGGCTTCCCTGAAGAGATGGGTTTTCAGGGTGCGCCTAAAGGAGAGGAGAGTAGGTGATAATCTGATGGGTTGGGGCAGGGAGTTCCAGAGGATGGGTGACACCCTGGAGAAGTCCTGGAGGCGGGCATTGGAGGAGGAGACCAGGGAACTAGAGAGAAGGAGGTCTTGTGAGGAGCGGAGTGTGCGTGTTGGGCGGTACTTGGATATTAGGTCAGAGATGTAGTTCGGGGCAGTATGGTGGACAGCTTTGTACGTCAGTGTTAGGATTTTGAATTTGATCCGTTGCGCAATCGGAAGCCAGTGGAGGGATTGGCAGAGGGGGGTGGCGGAGACAGAGCGGTTGGAAAGGTGAATGAGTCTGGCAGCCGTGTTCAGGATGGACTGAAGAGGGGATAGCCAGCGGGGAGGCAGGCCAGTGAGGAGGGAGTTGCAGTAGTTGAGTCGTGATATGATGAGGGACTGGATGAGCTGTTTAGTGGTTTCTGGGGTTAGGAACGTGCGGATTTTGGCGATGTTGCGGAGGTGGAGTCTGCACGAGTTTGTTAAAGATTGGACTTGGGGCTGGAAGGATAGGTTGGAGTCCAGAATGACACCCAGTACTCTGGCCTGCAGGGCGGGTTTGATGGTAGCGTTGTTGGATGTGACGGAGAAATCAATGGGGGGTGGTGTCCGGGCTGGGCGGGAAGACAAGAAACTCGGTTTTGGAGAGGTTCAATTTAAGGAAGTGGAGCGACATCCAGTCTGATATGTCGCTCAGTAGGTGTGTGATTCGGGCTGAGACCAAGGGGGTGAGGTGGGGGGTTGAGAGATAGATTTGTGTGTCGTCGGCATAGAGGTGGTAGTTGAAGCCGTGAGAGTGTATGAGTTGGCCAAGGGAGGAGGTATAGATGGAGAAGAGAAGGGGCCCGAGGACAGAGCCTTGAGGGACCCCAACAGAGAGGGGGAGTGAGGGGGAGGTGGTAGCATTATAGGTAACGCTGAAGGAGCGTTGTGACAGGTAGGATGAGAGCCAGGAGAGAGCAGAATCTCTGAGGCCGAGGGAGTGTAGTTTTTTGAGGAGGAGGGGGTGGTCGACTGTGTCGAAGGCCGCAGAGAGGTCAAGGAGTAGGAGCACTGAATAGTGGCCATTAGCTTTGGCGGTTAGCAGGTCGTTGGAGAGTTTGAGTAAGGCAGTTTCGGTGGAGTGTAGGGGACGGAAGCTGGACTGTAGGGGATCGAGGAGGTTGTTGTCGTTGAGGTGAGAGCATAGGCGGGTGTAGACGAGGCGCTCGAGGAGTTTAGATGTAAATGGGAGCAGGGAGATGGGTCTGAGGTTGTTCGGGTCATTGGGGTCCAGGGAGGGCTTTTTAAGTATGGGGGTGATGTGTGCATGTTTCAGAGGGGAGGGGAAAGTGCCTGAGGAGAGGGAGAGATTGAAGATGTGGGTGAGGGAGCGTAGGATGGAGGAGGAGGAAGGTCGTAGGAGTTGTGAGGGGATAGGGTCGAGGGGGCAGGTGGTGAGGCGGGCATCAGAGAGGATCTTGGAGACTTCCTCGATGGTAGTAAGGTCAAAGGTGTGGAGTGTTGGGGGAGCTTCAGTATGAGGAATGTAGGGTGGGGTGGAAGAGGAGGTCAGAGCAGTGGTGGGGCTGTGGGAGAGGGGTGATGAGGGGGTAGCTGAGTGAGGGTGAAGGGGGTTGGAGAGAGTTTGAGCAGCGACGAAGTCCCTGCGGGTTATGTTGAGGGGGAGGGGGGATAAGGGGGGGTAGCTGTGTGAGAGGGGACGGGTTGAGAGGGTGTGTGAGTTGCGGCAATGTCCTTGCGAATTGTGTCAGTTTTGTTTTTGAAGTGATTGGCAATCTCAAGGGCAGTGAGTGAGGTGCTGGGTGGAGGTGGGGGTGGAGAGAGTAGAGAGTTGAAGGCAGAGAAGAGTCGGCGAGGATTGGAGGAGAGGGCCTTGATGAGGGTCAAGAAGTAGGCCTGTTTGGCAGCATGGAGGGAGGAGGTGTAGGTGCGGAAGGCAGATTTTGTAGCGGGTGAAGGCTTGTTGGGATTTGGTTTTGCGCCATAGTCGCAAAAATTATGGACAGTCCCGAGGCACCCTTTCAAATTATGGACAGTCCCGAGGCACCCTTTCAAATTATGGACAGTTTTGAGGCACCCCATTATAAAATAGGGTGCCTCAAGCCTCTCCATAATTTTAAAAGGGCACCCCATTCTAAAATGTGAAAAACTATTCTAATAGTTTTTTATAACGCAGCAACACATGCAGGACACCCAACATTAGAGATGATTTATTACCTAAAAGGCAGGCTTGTCCACCCGCTGGCTTGTATACAAGTTTTGGGTAATTTTTAGACATTTTGCCAAGGCACCCCTGAAGAGACCTCAAGGCACCCTGGTTGAGAAAGGCTGGGTTAGATCGGTGTTTCTCAACCTTTTTTCAGTCAAGGCACCCTTTAAAAATTATGGACAGTCTTGAGGCACCCCATTCTAAAATGTGAAAAACTATTCCAATAGTTTTTATAATGCAGCAACATCCACACATGTAGGACATCCAATTTATTATCTAAAAGGCAGGCTTGTCCACCGATGGCTTGTATACAAGTTTTAGGTAAGAACTGATAGCAGAGGTACCAAATCAGAAAACGGAAGAAGGGTAAAAAGCAAGGCTGGGGTCAATATAGGACACGTGATTTCTTAACCCCCCTGGCGGTATTCCCGAGTGTAGCTCAGGGTAAAGTTTCAGTACCACAAGCGGTAACCCCCCCCGAGCTACACTCGGGAATACACTGCAGCTTTGCTCCGGAATCTCTTCTTCACATACCTTGTCCTGCGCTCCCACGATGTCCCTCCTGCAGTGTCCCCTGTAATGTCCTCTGGGTTCCGCTCCCTGCGACGTCGGGACATACGGGGGACGGAACTGGCGGGAAATTTGAAAATGTAAAAAGTGACATTTACTAAATACACTAAAATCACATAGTATATCATTCCTGTATCAAACCATTTCACATACATTGTGTCCCGAGTGCTTTGTCCGGCGCCCTGCCTGCATTTTTACTGTTCTTTCTGCCTGGAAACTGAGAAACGTCCATGGCGTCCAAAAAGCATCCCTTTAGGTCAGACGCAGTTTTAGACCGGCTAGAGAACAGCGATAGTAAATCAGAACCACTTGCAGAATTGAGTGATAATGATTGGTGGGGGAAATTCCTCATCAGACACTGAAAACGATTCTGCGACTTTGCTCAGCGATGTGCGAACTTGGCGCTATATTTCACATTTCAGTGTTTTTGGTTTGATTATATTATTGAATTACATTTAATATTATTATATTATTATTTTATATTATTATTTATTAAATTATAATTTATGATTTTGTGTTTCAAGTTTTATCCTCCCCGGGATGTTTACTAGACTCTTGTTCGGACAGATTTCAGTGAGTTATTCCTAAGAATTACAGGCCTACAATAAAAAAAAGACATATTTCAATGCAGTGAAGTCCTTGGCTTTGAGTGGTGCTCTAAGCTAATCTTGAGATCTACAGCTGCATCCGGTTTTCTATGTCACCAAATACTGATTTAGAGTACTTTAAGGTATTCAGTAGATACTGAAAATGAAATGTAATCTCCAAACACGGAAAGGTTTCTTCACAGTAAGAGCTGTGAGAATGTGGAATAGACTCCCTCCAGAGTTGGTTGTGACCAGCTCAG